GTAGGTGGTGAAGACCTATCCTCAGGGGCATGGAAATGTGCTGTGGCCTTGCTGCTTGGGAAGGCAGGGTTGCTGTCAGTGGCAACAGCTGCAAGCAGGCAGACCTCAGGCTCTGGAAAGTGCATGCTTTGGCACCCATGGTGGTGGTGGTGGCAGTGATAGCAGCAGGACAGCCAATCCTCAGGGTGCTTTCAAGTGTCCTGCTGCTGGGGTGGGATGGGTCTGCTGCCAGTGGAGAAAGCGATGGAGGCAGCACCAGTGATGGCAAGCATGAAGACCCTGTCCTCAGGGTGCACGCAGGTGTATTGCCGTTTTGCTGCTGGCTGAGTTGCTATCTGTGGCAGTGGCCCCAGGCAGGTGGGTTTCTGGCTCTGGGGAGCACATGCTTTGGCTCCCTTTGTCCTGGGAGCATCCTCCCTCATGTGCTACACCACCCATTTCAGGTGTGTGCTAGAGTGCTGGGAACCCTTCTGCTCCACTGGGTCCAGCTGGCATCATTCTACTGCAGTCTTCTGGCTGGATGTGGGAGGATGACCCCAGGCTATTGGGTCCCAGATCAGGATTCGGTCTTGTCAGGGCTGAGCTTCACAAAAATGTCACTGTGCTGCAGCTGCTAATGTCTCAGAGGAGTGGTGTTTGGGACCCAGCGTGAGCTCCCTGTCTGGAACAATGCTGTTATGAGGTCTCCAGGCAGCTCCCTATGCTAGTCTCAGGGCCCAGGAAGGTTGAGGGGTCTCCCATGGCTAGAGTTATGGAGGTCTGTTGGGTGGGAATGGGCACTGCTGGGGACCTCTCACTTACCCTTTCCCTGCGCTGAGAAGCCTCTCTGGGTTCCTAGCTGACCCTGGCCTAATTTGCTACTTTGCTCCTTCCATGCCTCAGGTGTTTACTGTCATTTCTCGGTTGAACCTCAGTGCTCTGTCTTAGATGCTTTATTCGAAGTGTGATTATCTACTTGCTATTTTGGTTTTTCTTTGTGGAGCAGGTGAGTGCTGGATGCGTATAGTCAGCCATCTCGAAACCCCTCTCTATATGCTACAAGTATTGTTTTCCACCTTGTCATTTATCTGTTAATTTTGTTCAAAAGTGCAGAATATTTAAATGTTTATATAGTCAAGTCTACCAGTCTTTTCTCTTTTTAGTTTTCAGGCTTGGTATCACATAGGGAAAATCCTGGCTAGGCGTAGTGGCTCACGCCTGTAATCCCAACACTCTAGTAGGCCGAGGTGGGGGGATCACTTGAGCTCAGGAGTTCAAGACCAGCCTGGGCAACATGGTGAAACTCTGTCTCTACCAAAAACACAAAAAAATTAGTCAGCCATGGTGGTGCACGCCTGTTGTCTCAGCTATTCAGGAGACTGAGGTGGAAGGATCACTTGAGCCTGGGAGGCAGAGGTTGCAGTGAGCTGAGATTTCGCCACTCTACGCTCCAGCCTGGGCTACAGAATGAGACTCTGTCTCAAAATACAACAACAATAGAAAATCCATCTTAACTTTATAAAGATAAAATACTATTGTACTTTTTAAAACAATCACTTAGTTTAATTTTTGCAGTTTATATATATATATGTTACATGTTAAGGTATGTATATATAAACTGTAAAAATTAAACACATATAAATTTATATGTCTCTGTGTGTTTGTATATAAAAAACTGGGGTAATGTGATTCCCCCAGTTTTGTTCTTTTTGCTCAGTATAGCTTTGGCTACTCTGGGTCCTTTGTGGTTCTATGTACATTTTAGGATTGTTTTTGCTATGTGTGTGAAGAATGTCGGGGTATTTTGGTAGGCATTGCATTGAATCTATAGATTGCTTTGAGTAGTATGGATATTTTAACAACAGTGATTCTTCCAATCCATGAACATGGAATATCTTTCAATTTTTTTGGTGTCCTCTTCAATTTATTTTACCTATGCTTTATAATTTTCATTGTAGGGGTCTTTCATGTCTTTGGTTAAGGTAACTTCTAGGTATTTAATTTTATTTGTGCCTATTGTAAATGGGAATATTTTATTGATTTCATTTTCAGATTGTTTACTGTTGGCAGATAAAAATGCTACTGATTTTTTGGCCAGGCATCGTGGCTTATACTACTTGTAATCCCAGCACTTTGGGAGGCTGAGGTGGGCAGATCATTTGAGCTCTGAAGATCGAGACCAGCCTGGGCAATATGGTGAAACCTCATCTTTACAAAAAATTAGCCAGGTGTGGTGACACGTCTGTGGTCCCACCTACTCAGGAGGCTGAGGTGGGAGGATCATTTGACCCCAGGAGGTGGAGGTTGCAGTGAGCTGAGATTGCACCACTGCACTGCAGACTAGGTGACAGAGTGAGATTCCATCTCTAAATAAATAAATAAATTTTAAAAAGAAAGGAAGGAAGATCACTAATTTTTGTTTATTGATTTCATTAACTTTATATTCTGTTACTTTACTGAATTTACCAGTTCTAATAGTTTTTTGGTAGAGTCTCTAGGTTTTTCCAATATAAGATCATATCATCTATAAACTAGGGTAATTTGACATCTTCCTTTCTGATTTTTTTTTTTTAACGACGGGATTTCACCGTGTTGGTCAGGCTGGTCTTGAACTCCCGACCTCAGGTGATCTGCCCGCCTTGGCCTCCAAAATGCTTGGATTACAGGCGTGAGCCACTACGCCTGGCCCTTCCTTTCCGATTTGGATGCTCTTTGTTTCTCTTGTCTGATTGTTCTAGCTAGGACTTCCAGCACTATGTTGAAAGATAGTGGTAAATATGGGCATCCATGTTTTGTTTCAGACCTTAGAGGAAAGGCTTACTATTTCTTCCCATTCAGTATGATACTAGCTATGGCTCTGTCATATATGGCTTTTATTTTGTTGGAGTATGTTCCTTCTATACCCAGTTTTTTGAGGCTTTTTATCATGAACAGATATTGATTTTTTTACCCTTTTTTTTTTTTTTTTTTTTTTTGAGACAGGGTGTCATCCTGTTGCCCCAGCTAGAGTGCAGTGGCATGATCACAGCCCAATGCAGCCTCAACCTCCTGGGCTTAAGCAATCCTCCTACCTCAGCCTCCTCAATGGCTGGGACTACAGGTATGTGCTATCATGCCAAGCTAATTTTTAAAGTTTTTATAGAGACAGTGTCTTCCTATGTTATCCAGGCTGGTTGCAGGGATGTTGAATTTTATCTAATGCTTTTTTCACATTAATTGAAACAATCATGTGGTTTTATTCTTTACTCTGTTGATGTGACGTATCACATTGATTGATTTCCATGTGTTCAACCGTACTTGCATCCCTGGAAAAATCCCACTTGGTTATGATGACTGATCATTTTAATATGTTGTTGAATTCCATTTGCTAGCATTTTATTGAGGATTTTTGTATCAATATACATCAGAGATATTGGCCTGTGGTGGTTTTGTTGATGTGTCTTTGTCTGGTTTGTTATCAGGGTAATACTGGCATCAGAGAATGAATTTGGAAGTATTCCATACTCCTCTATTTTTTGGAATAGTTTGAGTAGCACTGGCATTGGTTCTTTTTTAAGTGTTTTGTAAAACTCAGTAGTGAGACCCTTGGGCCCCAGAGTTTTCTTTGGTAGGAGACTTTTTATTATGACTTTGATCTTGTTACTTGATATTAGGCTGCTCAGGTTTTAGATTTCTTCATGGTTCAATCTTGATAGATTGTATGTGTCTTAGAATTTATCCATTTATTCAAGGTTTTCCAATTTAATGGCATATAGTTACTCGTAGTAGCCACTAATGATCCCTTGAATTTCTGCAGTTATCATTTGTAATGCCTCCTTTTTCATTACAGATTTTATTTATTTGGGTCCTCTTTATTTCTTTCTTTAGTTAATCTGACTAAAGGTTTGTCAATTTTGTTTTTTCCACACAAAAAGACAACTTTTTGATTTATTGATCTTTTGTATTGTTTTGTTCATTTCAATTTCATTGATTTCTGCCATGATCTTTATTCTTTCTTTTCTTCTAATAATTTTGGATTTGGTTTGCTCTTGCTTTTCTAGTTCTTTAAGATATATCATTAGTTTGGGTTTTTTTTTGAAGTTTTTTCTTTTTCTATTTTGATGTAGGGATGATTTTGAGTTCTGTCCTATGTCCTCACACCTGTGAAGATAAGCTGTTGATTTAAATTGCCATGGTGAGCTTCAACAGAACTGCTTTAGGGTAGAGATCTGGGGGCCCACAAGGAATTTCCTCATGGGCAAACTCTGTGGGAGGTATGTATGTAGCTTTTCATCTTTGTAGCCACCTTATTTAGGAACCAAAATAGGAGGTAGGTTTGCGTGACTCAGCTTGACTTTTCCTTTTGGCTTAGTGAGTCTGGGGTTCCAAGATTTATTTTCTTTTCACAAATGTCTTTAAGTATTTAGATGTTTTTAGATGTTTTATCTGATCAGGAAGATTATATGCCAGTTTAGCGGTTTTTAGGAAGTGATTAATGCATGAACACACATTCTTGAATTTTCCTCCAATCAAATGATGGAAAACTGCTTGTGTGAATAAGAACTTAGACCAGTGGATCTCAAAGTCTAGAGACTCACCTTGAAGACTTGCTAAAACACAAATTGCCGGGTTCTACCCTCAGGGTTTCCGAGTCTGTACTCCTGGGAAGGAATTTATAAATTTGCATTTCTAACACATTTCTACGTAATGCTGTTGCTGCTGATCCCCATACTCTGAAAAACAATGATTGAAACTGTTTGGTTAAATTAGTGTTTATCAACCATGGTTCTGCCCTTTCACACTCGAAGGATAGAACGTTAATAGTAGTGTGTCAATTTAAGAGTCCAGGCCTTAGAGTGGGGATGGGCCACAGAGGCAGGTGCTGCTGATGCGGTGGGGCAAGTATTTAAATCTTCAGCATGTGGATGTAGGTTGAGAAAGCCCTTCAAATGATTGGTTGTTTTCTTCCTAGCCTCTCTTCCCCTGTGAAACCACTCTCCTCTATCCCTCAATAAGAGAGTCCTGGTGCAGATGAAACAGTGCTCATGGGATTGCTTTATCCTCATCCAGGAAATAAAACAGCCTTTGCCAACAGTTACCCCAGTGCTTCTTAAGGAGTTCAGAAGAAGAAGTAGCTAAACTGCAGCACAGCTGAGGTGCAAAGGACAAGAAAGGACCTCCTTCTGGTAATTTTCCATTTTTGTTTAGAGCACTGTAGTATTATATCTGTCGATTCATCAATCACTGTAGATAATAGCCTAAATAGTGTTCATGGTTATAGCTTCTTCATATATTTCCCTTGCTGGGCCAAATTAGCTCTGATTTAAATTTCCAAAGACATTAAAAAATGTGTATTGTTTAATTCCCAAAACAATCCCGTAGGGGTAGAGATAACCACTATTCAGATGAAGGAATGGAGGCTTAAAGAATTTCTGGGGTCACACTGTAAGTAGTCCTCTCTGGCTCCATTAGGTTGCGTGAACTTGGCTAAGGTCCATAACCTCCATGTGTAAAGTTTCCTCATTTGTAGAATGAGAATGATACCAGTACCTACCTTCTGAGGTGGTTTTGAGAACTAAAGAGTTACTCTAAACAGTTGTGTACATACACATAATAAATGCTCAATAAATATTACCTCTTAGACTGTTAGTGCAGTCTAGTTAGTAGTAGCAGGGCAACTACTAAAAAGTACTTATTAGTGCTTTTTAAGTTTAGGGGATCATCTGCTTTTTTTTTTTGTTTTTAATGAGATGGAGTCTCGCTCTGTCGCCCCAGCTGGAGTGCAGTGGCGCCATCTCGGCTCACTGCACCCTCCGCCTCCCGGGTTCCACCGAATCTCCTGCCTCAGCCTCCCGAGTGGCCACGGGCCTGCCTTTTTTTTCTTCCAGGCGGGCTCTTCCTCTGTGACCCCAGCTGGAGTACAGGGGTGGGATCATAGCTCACCGCAGCCTCAGCCTCTAGGGCTCAAGCGATCTCCTGAGGGAACGTGTTCTCTTTCCGCGCAGTTTTAAGGGCAAGAACTTGCCAGCGCCATGCCCCCCTCCCATGCCTCTCCATCCGGGAGACTAACGGTTTCTGTTTTAATTTTCGCGGGCGTGGGAAAAAGATCAAAAGTCAATCACTGCAGCGGAAGTGTAAAGGAACTATTTTCATTGGCCAGGGGTATGGAGAAGGCGGGAGTTCCTCCCGGGTTGAGAGTCCCCGCCTCCCTCATCGCGTGGATTTCCCCTCTGGGGTTCCCTTCCACACAGTCTCGTGGGAGCCGGTCTTCCCCTCCTGAATGCCATTCTCTCTCTATTCCCTTCCACTCAGTGTGGAAGCTGCTTTCCTCTCCTGATTCCATCTTTTTGGATTCTCTCAGGTGAGAGGAGCTTTCCTTCTCTGGTTTCCCCCTCTGGGAACCCTTCTCAGTGTGAGCTAGCGGTTTCTCCTCCTTTTTCTCTCTCTGCTTAAATAAATCACTTTTCTACAAAAACTTTTCCGGTCTGGTATTTACTTTACGAGTGCACCTGCCGTGGTCCCCTCTCTCATTCTTGAGAGAGCAAGAGACCAAGAGCCTGGAGCCCACCAGGGAGTGAGCTGAGTCCTCCCCTGCACCCCCAAACCCGCCAACATTCCCACCACGACCTCCCAAAGCAGTGGGATTACAGGCGAATGCCATCACAGCTGGCTAATTGTTTAAGTTTTTGGTAGAGATGGGGTCTCACTATGTTGTCCAGGCTGGTCTTAAACTCCTGGCCTTAAGCAATCCACCCACCTCAGCCTCCCAAAGCGCTAGGATTACAGGCACGAGCCACTGTGCCTGGCCTATCCTCCTGCCTTTGTGCCAGGTAATCCTCCTCCTGTGTATTACAGGTCAACGTCTCTTATCAACAATTTAGAAACCTCAGGTGCTCTGAAAACTACGGTTTTTTCTTTTCATAAATCTTATATGACCTGCCATCATTTGATGGCACAGTGTAACCTGAACTGTAATAACATGAAGCTATTGCTGAGTCTGGTATTTTGTTGCTTTTTGCTTTTTGAGACAGAGTCTTGCTCTGTTGCTCAGGCTGGAGTGCAGTGGCACAATCTCAGCTCACTGCAACCTCTGTCTCCCAGGTTCAAGAGATTCTTGTGCCTCAGCCTCCTGAGTAGCTGGGACTACAGGCTCACTTCACCACACCTGGCTAATTTTTCTATTTTTAGTAGAGATGGAGTTTTGCCATGTTGGCCAGGCTGGTTTCAAACTCCTGACCTCAAGTGATCTGCCCGCCTCGGCCTCAAAAGTGCTGGGATTACAGGCGTTAGCCACCACATCCAGCCTGCTAATATGAAATTAGATGTCATTTTAGCGTCCTTTTTTTTTTTAACCAATTAAGTGTGTATTTTCTAAGAAAAAAGATATTCATTTATGTAACAACAGTGCAATTATGAAAACCTGGAAATTTATCATTGATACAGTACTTTTTCCTACAAACTTTATTAAAATTTTACTGATTATAGGCCATTGTGGTGGCTCATGTCTCTAATCCCAGCACTTTGGAAGGCCGAGGTGGGTGGATCACTTGAGGTTAGGAGTTTGAGACCAGCCTGGCCAGCATGGTGAAACCCCATCTCTACTAAAAATACAAAAAAATTATCTGGGCATGGTGGTGCATATGTGTCGTCCCAGCTACCTGGGAGGCTGAGGCAAGAGAATGGTTTGAACCTGGGAGGCAGAGGCTGCAGTGAGCCAAGATCATGCCATGCACTCCAGCCTGGGCAGGAAGCTTTCCTCAAATGCCTGGTGACCCAGGCTATTAGTTTATATATTATAAAGAGGCTCCAAAAAGGCTGGGTGTACTCCTTGACTTGTAGGCTTCATTGGAGGGCAACCAGCTGTTAGGATCTCCAGAACTAGGGCACTTGGTTCAACCATATTTTGAACCTCCCAGGGTTTAAGTGAGGTGAGTCAATATGCTTCTTTTTGGTAGTTAACTTATGGCATCCTCCTCTTCTCTGTTCTCATTTCTCCATCTGTTTTTCATCTTCCCAAAATTTGTTGATATCTTTTGTAAGTTGGTGTTCCCGATTTTCCTTGTGAATTTATCCTTTTCAAAAATCCATTTAATATATTTTTAGGTGGGCTAAAGAGAGAGGAATTAAACTTCCATAGTCAATGTAGCATCTATTTCTGGTTATTTTAATGTATTTTATTCTCCTTAATGAACTTTAGAATCCATTTTCCATGTTACACCAGCTTATTTACCCATCTACATATGGGAATTTATTTAGAATTGCATTAAATCTATTTAATGCAATAGATTTGCAATGGATTTAATGCAAGGTTAGTTTGCAGGGAACTGAAATTTTAACAACACCGAAAGAATTTACATGCTAGGAATTCTCCATTTTTAAAATGTACTTTAACATGTATTTCAGGCCAGGCACGGTGGCTCACACCTGTAATCCCAGCACTTTGGGAGGCCAAGGTGGGTGGATCACCTGCAGTCAGGGGTTTCAGACCAGCCTGGCCAACATGGCAAAACCTCGTCTCTACTAAAAATACAAAATTAGCTGGGCACATGGTGGCAGATGCCTGTAATCCCAGCTACTTGGGAGGCTGAGGCAGGAGAATTGCTTGAACCCGGGAGGCAGAGGTTGCAGTGAGCCGAGATCGCCCCATTGCACTCCAGCCTGGGAGAGAAGAGTGAAACTACATCTCAAAAAACAAACAAGCAAACAAAAACATGCATTTCAGTAAATTACTACCAGATACTTTAAATAGAGCTTATATATTTTTTTATAACCTTATCAATAGGTATTTCATTGTTTTGATTGCTCTAGGGAACAGATCCCTACTCCAACATTTCCATTACATTTTATAACTAATTTTAGAAAATAAAACTGATTTGTATATTTATCTTGTATCTGATCACCTTGATGAAATCTCACAAGTTCTGAAAAAATTTAGTTGAATCTTCTATAAAAATGTGTATAAATATAATTTACAAATGTGTATCATGTATCATATTTTATAACAGCATGAGATTAAAGCTGTTTTTCTAAGCTTGATATATTTTGTTAATTTATTTTCTTTCAGCAACTAATTTGTGAGATTTTTTTTTTCTATTTCTTTTTATCCAAATATACATGTTATATTAGAAATTCTTCTGATGGAGATTTATTACACACTTTCATTTGATTATTCCATCATCAAATAAATTTGAAAAATGCTGTCTTAAAATACTCAACACCTAACACAGTGTCAGATACTTAATAGTAGCTCAAAAAGTACTTGCTAAACGAATAAATGAATGAGTAAATGTTTTCAATCTTCCCAGTTACCTTCCTCAGGCTTAATTCTCTAAACCCCTGCAGATGGGACGTTTTCCAAAAACTCTCCAAAGTGAATATTTCATAACAGCTCTGGACACCCACATTAGTGTGTAACACATTTCAATGTCAGGAAACTTCTTTACTTTCAGGCTATTTTGCTGTAGCTTAAGTCATTTCCTTTCATTTTCTTTAGTACTCCTAGAGAGCAGGTTGCCAGTCTATGTTTATGAATATGAGAAGAGCATTACATGGAACTCAAAATTTAAAGATTTGCTTTAGAAATTCCTTTTTCCTCCACTGTGATTCTATAAAATGAGGATAATTCTGGAAACTAGGGGGAAAAGTAGATTTATTCATTGCAGATATTAGAAAGCCATGTCTAACAACTTTAGAGAGGGGTAGTATTTGAATATCAAGAAAAAGTGATATTTAAATATGAAGATGTTTATCTCACTGTCCTCAGAATTCTTTGGAAAAATGTTTTTCAAACTTGACCACATTTTTTAAATACCTGAGGAATGTAATAAAATATAAATATTTTTAGTCCTTACCTCAGGTATATTGAATTTGGATCTTAGACTGATGTTGCTTAGAAAATTGTAATAAAAACAAAAAATGCATAACAATAACTTTCCCAGTGAATGGCCAGGTTTACTGTGTTAAAATTTCTTATAGTCCGAACTTGGTTTAAATTATGTAAATATTATTTACTTTGAGCCATAGATTGTATTATTGTTATTTTTCATATACCTTTCCTTTTCTTTTTTATTTTTAAAAGATGGGGGTCTCACTATGTTGCCCAGCCTGGTCTTGAAATCCTGGGCTCAAGCAATCCTCCCACTTTGGCCTCCCAAAGTGCTGGGATTACAGGCATGAGCCACTGCACCCAGCCTCATATGCCTTTTAATATGTCTTGGAGTTAAAATTATCCTTTATTTTAATTTGTTTCATTTTTATGTATATATTGCTAATTCTTTCCACACTCAGTCGACGACATACAGGACAAAACCTGTTAGATAATTTATGTCATATGCATTTTTCCCCAGAGACTTCTATTCTCCTCCAATTTTGACTATTTTCAGTCTAAAACAACACAACTACATGGTTCCTATATTGAGATTTGGTGGGTTTTCTGTGTCAAATCTGCTTATTTTATCTCATGTTGTTTTCCTTCTTTATTCCTCGTTTTAATAATGCATATTAGCTACAATATTGTAGGAGAGCATGAGGCATACGTTTCTGAGACCTTACATGTGTAAACATTTCTTTGTTTACATCTCACAAATATTTGACACTGTCTCTGTGTGGGCTATGATGACAAAATACCATAACCGGATAACTTAAACAATGGAAATGTGTTTCTCACAGTTCTGGAGGCTGAAAGTCTGAGTGCCAATACAGCAGGTTTCTGGTGATGGCCCTCTTTCTAGCTTACAGAGTGCTGCCTTCTTACTGTGCCCTCACATGGAAGGGAGAGGAACAGAGTAAGTTTTCTGATGTCTCTTCTAGGGACACAGATCCCATAATAGGGGTTTCTACTCTCATGACCTCTTTTTTTGTTGTTGTTGTTATAAAGTCTTGTTCTGTCACCCAAGCTGGAGTACAGTGGCATGATGATAGCTCAGTGTAACCTCCAACTCCTGGGCTCAAGCGATCCTCGCATCTCAGCTTCTCAAGTAGCTGGGACTACAGGCACATACCACCATGTCCAACTCTTATTATTTTTTTAGAGATGGGATCTTGCTATGTTGTCCAGACTAGTCTCTAACTCCTGGCCTCAAGTGTTCCTACCATCTTGGCCTCCCAAACTTTGGGATTACACGTGTAAGCCACCGCCACTGACCCCCACATGGCCTCTAAATGTAATTATCTCCCAAATACGCCATCCCCATATACCATCACACTGGGGGTTAGGGCTTCAATATATAAACTTTGGGGGGTTATAATTCAGTCCATAGTGAATCATTTAGTTGATTATAGAATTAAGATAGAAGTTGTATTCATTCACCCAGAATTTTGAAGACATTACCTCATTGTTACCTAGATGCAATGTTGTTGAGAAGGTCCATATCATTCTTGTTCTGGTTTTTTGTATATGATTTGTCTTTTCTGGAAGCTTTTAGTATCTCCTTTTTATTCCTGATGTTTCTGTGCTTTGGTTTGGCTCATTTTTTAATACATTGTGCTCAGCAGTAGGGAATCCTTTTATGAAGTTGGAGATTTATGTTCTTCAATTCTAGGAAAGTCTTTTAATTATTGATATAATTTGGATATTTGTGTTACCTGAATCTCGCATTGAGATGAAAATCTCCAGTGTTGGAGGAGGAGCCTGATGGGAGGTGTTTGGGACATGGGGTGGATTCCTCATGGCTTGGTGCTGTCCTTGCAATAGTGAGTCCTCATGAGATCTGGTTGTTTAAATGTGTATGGCATCTCCCCCCATCCACTCTCTCTCTTGCTCCTGCTCTTGCCATGTGACACAACTGTTCCCCCTTTGCGTTCAGCCATGATTGCAAGTTTTCTGAGGCCTCCCCTGATGAGCAGATGCCAGCATCATGCTTCCTGTACTTTCTGAAGAACTGTGAGCCAATTAAACCTCTTTATTTTATGAATTATCCAGCCTTGGGTATTTCTTTATAGCAATACAAGAACAACCTAATACAATTATGTCCCACTTTTATATTCTTTGGTCTTCTTAAAATTCCAATAGTTTGGGTGTTTGAACTTCTGGATTAAAGCTGTATTTTTTTAAACCATTTTTTCTTGTATTAATCATCTCTGACTTTTGGGCAACTTTTTTCAACTTTATAAAGTTTTTATCTTTATGGTCGTTCTTTGATCACATTTATAATAATTTCTTAGAGCTATTTTTTTTTTTTAGTCTTATGTGGTGGTTTAGTGTGTCCACAAATTTTTTGATGCTCCTATCAAAACACTGTAGCCTAATAACCCTCTTCTTGCATATGGGCTCGATTAGTAACTTGTAATGAACTTCTAAAAAAGAGCAAGCGATGGTGTGTGACTTTGTGTACTAGTTTGAAAAGGACCTTGGGGCTTTCTGATTTCCTTTTCTCTTGATTACTTGGCTCTGGAAGAAACCAGTAACTATGTCTTGAGAACCCACAAGGTCTGTGTAGATAAACTGAGGTATCTTACCAGCAGCCATGTAATGAACTATCTTAAAGAGGGTCCTCCAAATCTTCAGAAAACTGCAGCCCTGGATGACAGCTTGACTGCAGTTTTATGAGAGACTCTGATTCTAAACCATTTAGCTAAGTTGCTCCCAGATTCTTGACTCACAGAAACTGTGTGAGATAATACTTGTTGTAAGTTGCTAAGTTTTAAAGTAATTTGTCATGCAGCAATAGATAACTAAAATGCTTTGCCTCTGAGTGTTTTTTTTTAAAAATAGCATCCTGCTCGTTTCTCAGATATCCTATTGTCTGTTATTTCATAGGACATGAATAGTCATTATTTGTGTATTTTAAGTTTTCATTTGTTCACTGCATTGTCTCTAATTCTTTTGGATTTCTTTTTCTTTTTTTTTAAATTAGGGATAGTTGATGAAAAGCCAAAAAGATGGAAGAGGACACAGATGCTGGGAGTAAGGTGTGGGGAGAAGAGGAAAACAAATGTGAAACTCGGCTACAAAAATCAAGAAAAATAAAGTGGAGTAAGTGATAAATAGCCTATAAAGGAGATAATTATGTATATATTCTAGAGCAGGGGCATTCGACCTCTGGTACAGTCCATGGCCTCTTAAGACCACACAGCAGGAGGTGAGTGGTGGGTGAGCAAAGCTTCATGTGGATTTACAGCCACTCCCTACTGCTCACGTTACCACCTGAGCTCCGTCTCTTGTCAGATGAACGGAGGCATTAGATTCTCATAGGAGTGCGAACCCTGTTGTGAACTTCGTGTGCAAGGGATCTAGGTTGCGCGTGCCTTATGAGACTCTAATGCCTGATGATCTGTCACTGTCTCCCATCAACCCCAGATGAGACCGTCTAGTTGCAGGAAAACAAGCTCAGGGCTACCACTGATTCTACATGATGGTGAGTTGTATCATTATTTCATTATATATTACAATGAAATAATAATAGAAATAAAGTACACAATAAATGTAATGCCCTTGAATCACCCCAAATCATCCATACCCCAGTCCGTGGAAAAATTGTCTTCCATAAAACCGGTCCCTGGTGCCAAACAGGTTGGGAGCTGCTGCTCTAGAGGTCTGCTTTGCCCACTCAAAATCATGGGAAGCATTAAACATAGTCTGTCAACCTGATTTTATCAACTGTCATTGGCACTCAAATTTCTTTTTTTCTTTTTCCTTTTTTTTTTTTTGAGATTGGAGTCTTGATCTGTCACCCAGGCTGGAGTGCAGTGACACCATCTTGGCTTACTGCAACTTCTGCTTCCTGGGCTCAAGTGATTCTCCCGCCTCAGCTTCTCCAGTAGCTGTGATGACAAGCGTGCACCACCACACCTGGTTAATTTTTTGTTTTTTTTTTTTTAGTACAGACAGGGTCTCACCATGTTGGCCAGGCAGGCCTCAAACTCCTGGTCTCAAGTGATCCGCCTGCCTTGGCCTCCCAAAGTACTGGGATTATGGGCATGAGTCACCATGCCTGGCCTCAAATTTCCTAAATCACATCATCTTTGACAAATATTTCTAATATAGTGTAAGTTAGAATTACTCAGTAGTGATTCTATACTGTTTTACTTCAATTCTCCTGTTCCTAAAGCTGCGCGATGGATAAACCAAGAAGTTACAAGACTGTATTTAGAAAACCTACATATTGTTTATCTAATAAGTGGACTGAGTGTGGAATTAGTTGAAGAGTAGTTTCAGACAAAGATAAAGGTCAATAGAATGTTTGTAAACCCCATCAGCTACTGTCTGTGTCCTTGAGTAAATTTCTTAAACTTTAAGAGCCTCTTTTGTAAAATGGGGTTATTCATAGTATCCAACGCAAGGTTGCTATAACAATTTAATGAGATAAAGTACCTAGCATCGTGCATGGAACATCGTTAGCCTTCGTTTTTTTTCTTCTTCTCCTTCTAACTTCTCTTCTTCCCACTATTCTCCTTATACTACTTCTGTCTCTTTTTTTTGGCTTCTCCTACACTTTAATACTTCTCTACAGTATTAGCATTACAGACCAATGAGTTATCATGAACTTTGGATCTGTCTTGGAAGGGCTTCTGTCTTACTGACAAGTTTATTTCTTTTTTTTGGTTTTGTTTTGTTTTCGTTTTTGTTTTCAAGACGGATTCTTGCCCTGTCACTCCAGGCTGGAATGAACCCAACTGTAATCACACCAGTGATTCCAGTTATTGCAGCCTTGACCTCATGGGTTCAAGTGATCCTCCTGCCTTGGTCTCCTGAAGTGCTGGGATAATAGGCATGAGCCACTGTACCCAGCCTTTATTGGCCAGTTTAATAAGTCTTAATATGTGACCACAACAAATTATAAGATACTGCTACCTACATCTATGAGTCATAATCAGACCTCAAACATAGAAGCTTGATTTTTCTGTAACACACCTAAATCACTGAACAAAAGTTTACAGAAAGCCTACCTTGTAACAGACATCGCTAGGTCGTTGCTATACCAAAATGTGACATGTGAAATGTGTAGTGGAGGAGGCAGTCAAATATGATATAACGCAGAGCTATCACTAATACAGGCATTTTCAGGATATTTTGGGAACCCTGATATGCTTATGACGGTCACTGAAGGCTTGGCAAAAAGGAACTTGAAAGGGATGGTGTGTGTGTTTGTGTGCATAGGGGCTGGGCATCATTCCACATGCGGGAAATAGCATATGCAAAACACAGAGGTATGAGAGGGCATTGTTATGATTGGAGACTAGCGAGTAGCTGGGAACTGCTATGTATCAAAGGTGTGTGGTAAACATGGAGTCTTCAAAGACAAAAATACAGCTTTTGTCTGTACAAAAGCAACAAATTAGGTCTGTACTTGCTATCTGAGAAATATAAAATTGACAGAGGAAATGCTCTCATGGTACTTCATTATAGTCTTTGTTTAATCTATCAACGTTTATTCATCAATGTATTTGTTGCTTAATCTGTCAATGCATTTGTTTAATAATCTATCAGTGTTTACTGAAAAAAGAAGAAATTAATCTTGAAATCTTGAAAATGTTCAGGTGTCAGTGAAGTTGAAGTTTTATTTCTCTTTTCCAAATATTACGATTGCTTTTACTCGCTCTAGTGTTTCAATATTTATATGATAACCATGCGTTTCCCTGGATGTATTTGGCCCTTCTCATTGTTTGCTGCCATCTAGTGTCATGAAGTTGATGTTGCAATTTTTTTTTTTTTTTTTTTTCTTTGAGACATAGTTTCGCTCTTGTTACCCAGGCTGGAGTGCAATGGCGCTATCTTGGCTCACCTGGAACCTCCGCCTCCTGGGTTCAGGCAATTCTCCTGCCTCAGCCTCCTGAGTAGCTGGGATTACAGGCACGTGCCACCATGCCCAGCTAATGTTTTGTATTTTTAGTAGAGACGGGGTTTCACCATGTTGACCAGGATGGTCTCGATCTCTTGACCTCGTGATCCACCTGCCTCAGCCTCCCAAAGTGCTGGGATTACAGGCTTGAGTCACTGCGCCCGGCAGGTGTTTTTGTTAACTAAAATGATATTCTGTTTGTTTTTGAGTACTGCCCTTCATAATTCATTTAAAAATTTAAGCCATAATCAAAATTTCAATAAAAAGTGGGAGAGTGCCATCATTATGATGGTATTATTTAATAGTGTATAGTGATAATTTTAGAGATTAGATTCTATGCATTAAAGCTAAATGAAAAACCTGTATAGAATTCAAGAGAGAATAGGTCCAGTAAAGGTAATTAATATAATTTTTAAAATTTAATAGATTCTAAGGTAATGAAATAGGATGGGGTACAATTTGAAACACCTTCTGTTCAATATCACCGTGTCCTCAATTCCTGGACTTCATCTGCTCATAGTTCGTTAATCTTTTGATGATTAATAATTAATGATTTTTAAAATGTAAAGATGAGGTAGGTAGTATTATTTATTGATAATTAAAACAACTCTAAGTAAACGAAGGTCAGAAAATATCATTTAATTTGTTCATTGGCTTCACTGTTGCTGTGGTCTGAATATCTGTGTTCCCCTCAGATTCATATGTTGAAATTAACCCCCAGTGCAAAAATATTAAGGTTGGGCCTCTAGGAGGTGATGAGGTCAGGAAGGCAAAGCCTCACCATCATGAATGTGATTGGTGCCATTATAAAAGAGGCCAGAGGGAGCTTGTTTGCTTCTTCCACCACATGAGGACACATAAAAGGTGCCATTGTGAGGAAGAAGCCATCACCAGACAACAAATCTGCTGGCACCTTGATCTTAGTCTTCCCAGCCTCCAGAACTGTGAGCAATAAATTATTTTTATTATAACTTACCCGGTCTAAGGTATTTTGTTGAAGCAGCCTGGATAGACCAAGACGACTGTTATATATCTATTATAATGTCATTTTCTCTCTCTTTCCCTCCCCTCTCCCCTTTCTTTTTGCATTCTGTGAAATGGGAAATGTTTTGGTTTTTTATTTTTATTTCACTTTTAGAAAACTTGTGGCCCTAAATAAAATGTTGACTGGGTAGCTGTGCCATGACAACATTACTACGCTTTTCTTTCTTTTATTTTTTTGATATGGAGTTTCGCTCTGTGGCCCAGGATGGAGTCCAATGGCACGATCTCAACTCACTGCAGCCTCTGCCTCCTGAGTTCAAGCAATTCTCCTGCCCCAGCCTCCAGAGTAGCTGGCACTACAGGCGCCCACCACCACGCCCAGCTAATTTTTGTATTTTTAGTAGAGATGGGGTTGTACCATATTGGCCAGGTTGGTCTCAAACTCCTGACCTGGTGATCCACCTGCCTCAGCCTCCCAAAGTGCTGGGATTACAGGTGTGAACCACTGGGTCTGGCCAACGTTACTCGGCTTTTCAAAGCAAATGTAAAACTAAATTGTTTTTGAAACCAGCATTTGCTGTGATGGAAGAGACTCCAGATGAAGGACTTCCTTCTAGACATAGGGCCTCTTAGAATTTCCTCGGAGAGTCATCAAATTAGAATCGGAATGCCTTATTAGAATATTTCATCTTGGTTGGGCATGGTGGCTCAGGCCTGTAGAGTCTCAGTGCTTTGAGAGGCTTAGGCGAGAAGATTGCTTGGGGCCAGGAGATTCAGATCACCCTGGGCAACATAGTGAGACCCTGTCTCTACCAAAAAAAATTAAAAAAAAAAATTAACCAGGCCTGGTGGTGCATGCCTATAGTCCTAGCTACTAGGGAGGCTGAGACAGGAGGATTGCTTGAAACCAGGAAGTTGAGGCTACAGTGAGTTCTTATTGCACCACTGCATTCTAGTCTGGGCAACAAAGTGAGACCCTGTTTCTTTTTTCTTTCTTTTTTTTTTTTTGAGACGGAGTCTTGCTCTGCTGCCAGGCTGGAGCACAGTGGCGTAGTCTCAGCTCACTGCAACCTCTGCCTCCTGGGTTCAAGTGATTCTTCCACCTCCCAAGTAGCTGGGACTATAGGCACATGCCAAACGCCTGGCTAATTTTTGTATTTTTAGTAGAGACGAGGTTTCACCATGTTGACCAGGATGGTCTCGATCTCTTGACCTCGTGATCCACCCGCCTCGGCCTCCCAAAGTGCTGGGATTACAGGCGTGAGCCGCCGTGCCCGGCCATGACCCTGTTTCTTAAGAAAAGAAAAAAAGAATACTTCATTCTCTCCGTCAATTCTCCATCCACGTGTATATTAACGTCATGAATTCCTACGTAGGAGAAACTCTAGGGTGGCACTGGGGAGGCTGAATTCCAATCCTGGCTGCTGCTGTAAATAGTGGTCTGACCTTAGTCCACGCACATAGGC